TTTTTTATAATTTTCTCATTCCTCCATTACCTCTCTGTGATGTCCATAGTAAGCCCTGGATTTAGATACTATATTACTTCATAAGCAAGTAGAACCCAGTGGTTATTGTTTTAATTCTGCAGACTTAAAGTCTAGCCTGAAATAATTAGCAGGAAAGCAGTTAGGAAAACATAAGTGTTTTGATGTATTGTTTGTTTGCATGTTTCCCAAGTCTCATTTGCACTTTATTATGATGAGTTTCTTTAGAGTAAGTAATAGCTAGTTTATTATCGTGGCTTAATAACACTGAGCCCCATCTGAGCTGTGATGACTGCCCTTGTGCATGCTCTTAACCTACAAAAAAGCATGCAAAATAATTTTACCTGGTCTACCATTAACAGCACTAAACCACATTATCTTACATCTGTCATAGTTCAAAAACCCCACACAAAGAGTTCCCACAGCTCAGCTAACGCATTGTAACTGAGGTGATAGAGAATGTAACATCACCCCTTGCCTCTGAACTTCAAATTGTTTGTGTATGGGGAAGCAAAAATCCAGTCTGCCCTACACACACTTTAGAAGGTTTCAGTGCTGGCTTTCGCATTTTCACAAGTCAGAATGTAAGTCATAGAATCATAGTTTCAGTGTCTCACCACCCTCACAGGAAAACATTTCTTCCTAATGTCTAACCTAAATCTTTCCTCTTCCTGCTTAAAACCATTACCCCTCATCCTATCACTACACACCCTAGTAAAAAGTCCCTCCCCAGCTTTCCTGTAGCCCCTTCAGGTAATGCAAGTCTACTACAAGGTCTCCTCAGAGTCTTCTATTCTCCAGGCTGAACAGCCCAAATTCTTTCAGCCTGTCTTTACAGAAGAGGTGCTCCAGCCCTCCGATCATCTTCAGGGCCCTCCTCTGGACTCACTCCCAAAGCTCCATGTCCTTCCTGTGTTGAACATTTATGGGCTACCCATAATCCATGTTACATGCTTGAGCAAGACTGGGGTAAGACAACACTGATGTGGTCGCAATTACAATAATAGTGTGCATATAAATAGTAATGTATTATGTATACAAATATATATAGTAATAATGTGTACATATATTAAATAGCCCTAGTAAACAGCTAGTTACAAACCTGCCAGTTTGATTCTTACCAAAAATAAGATAAATTTACAAGTCAATGCTCTGGAACACAACATTTTTTAATGACCTGATTCTGCTTCCACTGAAACTAAAGAAGCTCCAATTAAGTCTTAAACATGTGGAAGAGGGCATTAAGAAGTCTTGCAGATGCAAATCAGATCAATCTCTACTTCTTATCAGCTGTGCTTCCCATTTTGAAGAGCTGGATTGAGTGTGCTCCCATGTCCAGTGGGAAGAAGGAATACTTGCCTTCCACAGAAAGAGAAAACACAGGTTTTGTTATTTGGCAAAGACCAATTCTAATGATGTCCATGGTAGCAGTTTACTTTGTAGTGCATAAAGACTTGTGTCCTGAAGTACCTTAAAAAAGATACTGTTTCCACTTAGCACAATTCATAGGGAACACCAGTATGCTTCCCTGAAAACAATCAGATCTGATTTATATTCTTTTATTTCTCTTTAACAAACACTTTCTATCACTTTTTTTCAGTAACATGTATGTTCCAGTATGTATGCAAGTCTTTCTATTGGTGAATCTGCTGCACAGACTTTCTGATCAGACTGTTCAATATTTTGTGAAAAGAATGTAACTCTAGAATATCCCCTTTTACAGTTTCCAGGAGGATGATCTGCCAAATCTCAGGTCAGACTGAAAGAACAGGCCTAAAATCCTAAAGTTAGCTTTTCTATTTGGGCCACTAATTTAAGAATTAATGCATAAGGAAAGAAAGCCATCTGGTTTTCCATAACCATGAGAACTAAGCAAGGCATGTGTTGGCCTCACTCCTTGAATTCACAACCTCTAGCAGGAGTTTCTGTTCTGGTTTTCTATGAGTCCTGTAACTGCCCAGTTGAATGCAAGGAACAGAGGAAGCACCTTAGCTTCAGCAAGTGAGTCTGAACCACCTTGCCCAGAACATCCCTGTGGCCTTTTAGTACATACCAGCAGCAAAAAAAAAATAAATGCTTGGACCTGTGCTCCCAGCCTGTCATCAACAGTGCCACTATCCCACAAACACCAAGCTTACTTGTCAGAAAGCACCAGTGTGCCATCAACAGCACTTTAATATTTTATTGTTTTTTAGTTCTAAATTTTTAAGTCATTCCATCAATATGATGAATAGTTCTCTTAATTAACTTGAATTCTTAACAGAATGACTGAGGCTTAAAATGTATTCTCCCTCAGCCCAAAACCAAAGGACAGCCTTTCAAACAGCTTGTTTGGGTGCAAATTAAGCTCACCTCACAAAAATCCAATAAATGACTTTATTAAATATATTCTTTTCCTCTAAAATATAAATATTCACTATACTCTTATAAATGTGGAGTAGGTCTGTATTTCATTTGTCTATCCCATCCAAATATGAATCAGTCCAAAATCTGAAAATGAAGAAATAGCATCTGTAATTATCATTTTTTTTCTATAAATATATATGAATTTTCTTTGCAAACCATTTAATTATTCACTTATACTTCATATAGTACTGAGCACCTTAGATTACATATTGTGTCATTTAATTGTTGGTTCTAATATAGGAATTTGTAATATTTACAATGCACATACATGTTAAGTATAACATTCCAGTGATTTGCAAGTGTTAAAGGAATAAGGAAATAGTGCAGTATAGTTTACATATGTATTTAACCTACCCCACAGTATACAAGTTTTCACTTTAACCTCTGGAACTTTTATAGGAGCTTGCATCCAGACTTTTAAGTTATACTTTGGAACAGCAATGTGTCCTGAATCACTCTTTAGAAACTTCACCCAATGTTTTACTTGTGATGCGGGTCCATACTCAGGGACCCGGTCCCCCAGCGTACCGACTGCTCCCAGCTTCTCCGAAGTCATTCCCCTAGAAGCATTCAAGCCAAAGGAAACCCAAGAAACTACCACAGAAATTTATGTGAATGGCAGTGGTTGCTAAATCAGAAATGTCCATTTGGAAATCCTTGGTAAGTTATGTAACAGGTTATCTCCTACCTTGTGAATTTACATGAGGCATTAATTTTTAAGTGCAAGTACCATGACAGTAATAACAAAGTTCAAAGCTACACACAATCCCCTCCCAAGCTTGCTTTTGACTGGTGAGAGGTGCTGGGAGTGAGGCTGCTCTTCCAAATGGTGATTTAGCTGTTGTTCTTTCAGTGTTTATTTGTAAATTCAGCCCATCATCTTAATTTTTAAATTAGTTTTGATGATTAAGATGTCTGTGGAAATCACCACAAACTAATTCCTACGCTGTGAATAAACAACATGATGTACGTACACTTAGTGCTGAAGACTTAGCTTAAAAATCAACATGGAACCAAACAGTGTTTTTAATGTTCCTCTTGACCAGTCAAGTGACATTAAGTTGAAACTTGTGTGCTTTTTTAAGAATAAAAGAAGTGTTGTAGTATGACAAGCAAACTTCTACAAGCTTTGGATTTATTACTTTCTGTACAGTTCCTCTCCTTCAAAGTGTGAATTTAGGGCAAAACTCTAAAACCAAACACCTCTATATGAAGCTGTTCTGTTTTTCTGTTCCCACCCAACCACATTAAACCAATGTATTAGTTCCAGGTATGAGCTGTGTGTATGATCCCTGTCAATGAAGGTCATTGTTCCTGCCTGGTGCCCACTTTGTGCCCAATATAACTGTGAGCAAGGCTGAAACTCAGTGATTTGAATGTTTTAACTTAAAACAGTAAGTAAGCTCTGGTGCAAAACAGGAACTAGTAAGTTGTGGGTATGGAGGTGAATGTCTTCTGCTTCACCAGCAAGGAATAAATCTGGACTCACTAAGTCAGACTTGTAGGAGCAGCTCAATATTAAGGCTTTTCTGGCAGTGCAGCTCGTGTTCCTGCCCAGTGCATTTCCTCACTGTTGTGGAGCTGCTTGAGTAATTTTTCTGATCTAGTCTAGAAGACCCTTCCTCCTTCCCCATTTTTCTTCTATGAAGGCCACACAACCAGTCTCAGCTGAGCTGAAGGGGTGAGGCAGTAGGAGTAGGAGCACAGGAAGCTCAGCCTGGCTTTCTATTGGGAAACTGCCATGGAAACATGATGGAAGCTTAGGTCACGCTTCAACGTGGGTTCACGTAACTTCTACCTGACCCAGGGATCCCAGGTAGCTGAAACTAAGTAAGTCATTCTGGGTAATCACTATAATAATAGATCCTGTGTGTTCATTAACACTGGATGCTCCTACCTTTGCCCCACTAACAGCCCACTCTCCAAACACTGTTGTAGCTAGTCTTGTTTGGGGCCCATCACTAGGAATGTATGCCAGATGCCTTCATCATTTAACTAGAAAGTGCCCCTTGGCAGGGACTCTCCAGCTGTTCATTGGCCACAGCTGTATTGCTTTAAAGCATCTGACTCAAGGTGCATATCTGTGTGCTCTGCTGGGTATTCAAGCAACAGGATCTGATGGTGCCCCAAAAGAACAGTCTTCTGTAAGCAGTGCAAAGGTTAGCACAGAGGAAGTATTTTACTTTTAGGTGGTGGGACAATCTTGTTTGGGGAACTTATACTGAAACAGCCTTGAGCTTGCATCACAACCAACAACCACTCTTGCCTGCTTAGCCCTTTACTTATTCTGTATAAACAAGTACATTGAAATAGGCACAATTTATGATTCTGAAACATTTACATGTATGGTACTACACGCTTTTACTGTCTGATACGGGATTTTAAAATCCCATTATTTACAAAGAAATCCACTGTTTTTCTTGTCATGCCACTTCTTTAGCTGATCAAAATGAAAACTGGGCCTTGGAAGACTGCAGAAATGACCAAGGTCCAGTACTGAAGCCCAGGCTGGTGTGTGCTGCTGGCTGGTACGTGTCGCTGTACTTCAGATTAGCGTGGTCACTCTGACTTTCTCTGAAGAAAGAGATGGATCCCACTTAGGCCACCAAGCCAAGTCTTGTAATCTTTGCTGACAGGAAGGAATGAATGATGAACACAATTGGTTTTGGACAGGAATGAAGGTCCAGTTGCTGAAAGCACAGAAAGAAATCAGACTGAGAATGATTGGTTTACAGCTGAAATAAGCAATCATATACAGACTGCTTTATTAACTGCTGCTTGGCATTTTTTAACAGACTTCTATTAATAACAACCCTTTATTAAAACATAGTGTTGTTTCTTTGCATACAGCTGCAAATATTTAGGTTACTAAAAGTAGGTAATAAGCACCTCGAGAGCAGAGGAGCCCCTGGTGCCTCTGGAACTGCATCTACCTTGGTGAGCAGCAGAAAACTGAGTCAGATCACAGAATCATAAAATTTTAGGGGTTGGAAGGGACCTCAAAAGATGCTGCAAGGAGCTTTCCAGGAGGTTCAATTACTCCATCTTTTCAGGCTCTGTTTCTGACCAGGGATGGTGGTGGGACTGCAATATCCAGTACCCAGTGCAGCTGCTGTTGGTCACAGATGAAGTCAGGATGCTGCACCTTCAGCTGATGCTGCATGGTTCTTCTCTGGTCACACAGCCAGCAGCAAGACTCAACTGAGATGTTTTTCCATAGTCATGGTTGAGATGATCTCATCATGTGTTTACTAGTATGACAGATCTGTCAGTGTGGACAGCAGGTTCAACACTAGATTTGCATCAAAACAAACCAGATTTGCCTTTCCACCAGACATGCATCAACTTCACTGACAGCCGGTAACAAATTTAGTTCTAAAAGCCTGACAATAAGCAGTTCATAGAGTAGATGTTATCTAAGGGGATGTGCAGAATTAAGCAACCAATGTGCTCAGGAGCTTCTGAAAAAATATGGCAGGAAAGACCATGTTTACATGCATAATTTAGGCTATCTAAACTGCTTGTAGGAATAAACACATTTTTTAGGCATTGTGACAGCTAACTTAGAGGCCTAAGCAGATAGTTTGCACGACATCCCTAGTTTTCTTTTTTTTTCCCAGCAACTAGATATTCTAAAGTGCCTAAAACACATTATTTTTATAACAAAGTCTCTATTTTTATGCTGGATTTATTAATATCTCATGTTTAAGCTCTTCTACTTGCTGTCATTTAAGATATATAAAAAATATTAACATTTGGCTGTGTAGAGATACAATTATTCCTGAATATAAGAAATCTTTCATCCCTCTTTGCATGGTTTTAACATTCTATCTCTCTTTTTAGTTTATCTTGTTCTAAAGCCAGATGATCATGCTGAATCAGAAAGCATGGTGCCTAAATACTGTCACATGCATCCTGCTGCTAGGTGCAGTACTTACAATTTCTCCATCCTTTCCTCCAAAGTCTAAATAAAGCATCCTAATCCCATCATCTGAGGACATTTTCAGTTTTTCGTAGGGATATTGTGCAATTGTCTTGGAGAAGGCACCATCTTGTGGCTCACTTGTAAGAGAGAATCCATGTTCATAATGGATGGTCAAACGACACTCCTGGCTCTTGTATGTGCAAGCTGTAAAAGGAAAGAAATTTTAGTCTGTAACATTCTTAAAAGCAACAAACTCCATCTGGCTGCAGACGTCTGCATTTTGCATTTGATCTCAATGCCACCTTGCAGAAACTAACCTTTCCTAAGACTAGGCTAATCATGCTCTAACTGTAAACCTCCAGATTCGTAAAAATCACAGAATCACAGAATGGTAGGGGTTGGAAAGGATCTCTGGAGACCATCTAGTCCAACCCCCCTGTTAGAGCAGAATCCCCAAGAGCAGATTACACAGGAACACATCCAGGTGGGTTTTGAATGTCTCCAGGAGATGGAGACTCCACAACCCCCCTGGGCAGCTTTTTCAGTGCTCTGTTACCCTCAGAGCAAATAAGTATTTTCTCATATTCACGTTGAATCTTCTGTGTACCAGTTCATGACCATTAAAAAAAATGAGAGAAGCCATTCTGTTGTGCAAGGTCCAACCAAGGTTTGTTTGCTATGGTTTTAAACACAGACTAAAACTGTGCTTAGGGGTAACAAAACCAGTGTCAGTCCTTTCAGTTATTCACTGGAGTCTTCATATTGCAGTGTGCATCTACATGCTGGCACAAAAACAATCTACTGAAGTTTAAGAAGGCTCAGGCTGGCGTTTCCTCCTTCCAAACCCTGACAAAGCCACAGCTACCCTTCTTCCATCTGACAGACATAGCCAAAATCAATAAATGCAGTGCACAATACACTACAAAATGAGAAGCTGTAAAGGATTTCCCCTAAAGTATTTTGACAAAGATGAAGATACTCCTGAGTGCTCATTAGTATTGTGGCAATTGAAAAAGGGCCCAGAAAATTGCATATAATAGCTACTGCAGCAGAAAGTCTGCAGCTTCCCCTCAGCTCAGAAACGTAGGCCATGAGCCAAATTAAAGAATGAAGAGTTTACATGTTTACATCCCAAATTCTCTTTTCTACAACTCTGCCAAGGAGCCTTGGCACTGGGATAAAAGCACCATGATCAAAGAAGGGGCTGATGCACTCCTGTTTTTGGAAAGAAAGGCATCCATGTCACTGGGCTGAGGAGATGCCTTCCTGGCGGTTCCCACCAAACACCATGGTCAGTTTCCATGCCAGCAGCCCTTGCAAAGCAGCCTGAGCTCCCCGTGAGGCACCAGGCTCAGCAGCTTAAGGACAGGCATCCCTTTATCATGGAGCAGATTAGTGCTTTGGCTCTTGCTCTTATATTTTTAGTCAACGAGTGGAGCTAATGTTCAACTTTAACAGCCTTATCCACTAGAGAGCTGGTGTGGGCAGGACTCTCAAATACTGGGGGCACTCAAGAGAAAAGTGAAGCCTCAAAGCCCCAGAGCCACCCCTGGCTAGCAGCTACCTGGCCCAATGGGGCTCACTCCAGAACATCTACAGCCTATTACTTTTATTCCTGTTGATTTTGCACGTACAGAAGTGCTGAGAAGTGACACTCTTGATGTTCAAGGAGAGAAATGTCTAGCTGTCAAAATGTGGTTGTTGAACTAATTTATTTTTGCTCTTCTCGGGTATTTAGATCTGGGTAAATAAATGACCAGTTCAAGCTAGTGAATGTGCCAGTCCTCCTCTGCCTCTTCCTCTGCAGGAGAAACTCCCACCAGGCTCTCAAGAGTCTTCTGAATCTCAGAAAAATGTTATTTTTTATATCTTTCTGGGCAAACCTCTGATGATCACTCCTCCATGACACGCAGCCCTGCATGGCTGCCGATGGGCTCGTGTCTGAAACGATGTGCCAAAAGCAAGACCGAAAGTCAGAATGACAGTGACTGATTCCCGGTTTTATGGTACTGGCCACAGGTACCACACCAGCTAGGGCTGGCTAGGAAAGCAAGAGGGCAGTATTTTATACACATAGAACCCCAAACAAGTACATTTTTTTAAAAGAATCACCTCCAGCAGAAGGAGTTTGAACTACCCACACATCCTGAGGGGGTGTGGGACCGCAGTGCCGCAGGTGTTACTCACATGTGGTGATTTCTGTGATGAGCTCTGCAGAATTGTGGCAGCCCTGCACTATGTTCCTCGTCCACACTGAGAGGTCCCGGCTGGTCTCCGTCCTGAACAGATGGGTTTCAATCCCCTGCCGTGTGCCCGTACGGGTTGCGAAGGACAAATCCACTCCGGACTGTGGTGAGCCTTTTCCTGGGCCAGAATGGACCAGCCTGCAGTTGGATTTGAAAACACCTCAGTGGATTATAATGGTGACACAATGCACTGCACCAAAATGTGGTGAGCACAGATCTGCTCTGTACATTCCTAAATGCACATGGTCAGGAGCACGAGAACTGGTATCTCCTTCATATTTGAGCCTAAAGGGACTCCTAGTGACACTCAGAAGCATGAAGGTCCAAGGCAGCAGGCACAAAAGTAGCCACCACACATGCTGGCGATGACGGAGATGTCCCAAAAATTCCTAATGAACTGTACAAAATACCCCTTGGATGAGGAACTGAGAGAAATCACTGACTGGTCTGTGATGATGGGGTTTGGTGCACAGCTACAAGTGCCTGCTCACATGAGGTGGCTGAATCTGACTTTCACTGTCAGGCTGCAGTTGCCATAAAGCTTAAACATCTGCAGACAAACTCAACAGTAAGTGCTGTCAGATAAAGTATGAAGTTCTGTAAAGTATGCAGATGCCAAAGTACTGTCTTGCACATACTTTCCCCATAAGGAACCTGCAAAACACAAAATGCTGCAGCTATTTGTAGTCTGAAAGTCTCCACATTTTGCTGCAATTAACATTTTTTGGCCTGGCATCAACAGCTGATCTCCCAGCACCAAGAAAGGTTTGTTCATCTAGGCAAACCACTAATTGCAGGGTCTATTTCTGAGTGAGAATATCAACACCTTATAATATTTCATTCTTCTTTAAGACTGTGCTCTTTGTTTTTTTCCCTGTGCAGAAAGTGAATACAGAATTTGCTCAGGGACATGACACTGATTCACTTGAGAAGAATAATCCAGAGGAGCTTGTCATTCTTTGAGACCCAGGCATTAACCCTCACAGGGAGTCACAAAATGAAACCATGGAAATTACTCTGAAAAGCTTATTTCTGCCTTGTGTCTGCTATTTCCTTTCCTATAGGCAAACAATATACTTCATATGAGACGGCAGGATACTTGTGCTGGAGAATAAAACATTAGATTATACTAATCAACCACTGAATGCTAATTCACCCTCAAATTATTGTTTTGCGTCTAGAAGAGTTACTTGTTAGCTGACATGTAGAAGTATGTCATCAAACAGAGATGGTTAATAGGGAAAAAAAATATATAAAAGGGAAAGAAAAAGACAAGTTTAGCTTTTTGGTTCTTGAAACACTAACCACAGAGCATCTGAAGTTGTCCTCAATTCCCTGGCAGTCTATGCTGACATTTGGGATGTGCACTGTGCCAAACAGATGCACTCCTCTTTCATACCCCACTAGAAGGTTTGCAGGATTTGTTCATGTTCAGGTTCATGGTAATTTCCTTTGGATTTTGAGTATCCACTTTGATTTGACAGTCCCAGGAGATCCTGGGAGGCAAAGGGCAGAGTATCCTGGTCAGAGCTGCCCTGCTCCTGTGTCTGGGCAGAAGAACTGCTTTCAGAGAGGCACCATCACCCTCCCCAAATGCTTTTTGTCTCAAGAAGGTCTGTGTTAATTCCCCGCTCAGCTTTGATATTTGAGGCCTGCTATCCTGTGCAGATTTTGCAGCTGGGGAGTCAGCAGTAAGCAAACACCCCCAAAAGTTGTATTCACTTTTAATTTGGCATGAGGATGTGCAAACTCTGAGGGGAAGCTGCACCCTGATGTCCTGGTTTGAGCCAGGATGAAGCCAATTTTTCTTTTTACTGATTTTTTTTTCCTTCAGTAAGCTTTCTTGTAGCTAGCAACAGTGTGTTCTGCTAGGCTGATAAGACAGTGGAATGTTTTTCTAACTACTGAGGCTTCAAGGCTGCACCTGCACTCTGCCAGCTCAGACACTATGGGGAGATCTGTGACCCCCCCGTAGGAGGCTGAGTTAGATGGACAGCAAAATTGGCCAAAGATATTCCATTCCATATATCTACGTAAGCTCAGAGGAAGGTCAGAGATCACAGAAGACAACTTCCTTCCTTCTTCTTCTTCCCTTCTCTTCCGTCCATGGTCGGTGTCCGGGGAGGACTCTGTTCATCCATCACCGTTGATCCTCAGCCTTGATCTCTTGTGACCCCCATAACTCTCTGCTCTGTTCCAGCAGCAGCTCCGGGATTCCTCGGGACTCTTCCCAGTTCAGGGAAGTGCTGTGGGAGTTGCTGGGGTGGGGGGAGGCGAGAGGCTTTTGCCCATACCTGAATATATTTGTATATAATTGTATATATTTTCTTGTATCATTCATTAGTGTTTTAATTAAAGCTGTGTAGTTTAGTTTTCAATCCAGCCAAGTCTCTCTCTTTTTCTCTCTCTCCTTCCCTACCTGGGTTGGGGGGAGGGGGGATCGAGAGCATTGTTGTCGGACCTGAGTCAAACTGTGACACCTGATAATTAAGGCAGGAGACCAGGAACTGAAATCTCCTGTGACTGCTGCTGCCAGTCCCCCTGGTGCAGGCCAGGCCACTGCTCTCATGCTGCCTTCTGCTACCAGGAGGACTGCAGGAAAGCAGCCTGGAAAATCCCATCAAATTTGTCATAAAAACCCAAACTATCCCATCTTCTCCTTGGGCCATCCCTTCTCCTCTATACAGTGCTCATCTGCTGTGCTAAAAATCTCTTTCTAATATTTGTGATACTGAATATGTGACAGACAGATGGTTCCAGTGTTTTCCTTTCATATTCACCCCCCTCTGTGTTTTCATGCTTTATCCATAGCACTGGCATTTTAGGTTTTTCAGCACATGTTTAGAATGAAGATTTACTGCTTTACAAATTAAAAGTGTGTGGACACATCCAACATGAACATTGTTTCTTGCCTTTCTTCTGATTCACATTATCCCTTCAGTATTAAGAATTCAGTCTCTCTATTTAAAAATACAACCCCAGACCATGCTTTGGAAAATCATGCAGTTAAACACAAGCTAGGCAAATACGCAGGGGAACTTTTGCTAGTATTTTTGTGCCAGCTGTCAGCACTGATGTGTTTGGGTACAAGTCAAAGGATTCCCAAGCTTTAATAAAGTTGCATTTGTGTGAGTTATTTCTTTTACATAAAAGGTGTTTTATCCTAACAACCACAAAAATACCTTAAAAGGCAAAAGAATAGTTTTAGAAACTTCACAAAAGGCTTCCCCTCGCATCTACCTCCAGTTGCCCTGGCTGCAGTGGAGGTTGTGCAATTGGTTCAAGGGGCACCCAAGAGATGAAAAGTCATCCCAAGGCCAGCTCTGAAAATATTTGCCCACAGTCCCTGAAGGTCACTGGGCTCCGTGGAGGTTCCTGACATGTCTGAAAGCACACAGGACCCTGAGCAGGCTTCCCTGGAGCAGCTGGAGCCGCAAGACGGCAGGAGAAGGATGGTCATGCTCCAGTCTGTTTGCACAGTGCTGAAGAGCAGGCAGCCGCTGTGAAATGCAACTCTTGGCATGCTCCAATGAGCCCCTTCTCATCTTCTCTAATTTTTCCCTTGTCTTTTTATGTTTTGGGGACCTTTTTAGCATTATTCTTTGCAAATGTGTGATGGCAAGATGGGAATGGTCCACCATGAAGTGCTGCTGCCAGGTGAGATGCACTGGGACCTGCTTCTCATCCTAAGGCTATGAAGAGAATTTCAACCTCATCATCTCTCCTTTCTTACACTGAAACCACTCCTTACCCTGACGTAGCATTTGAAAGAGGAGTGGAGAACCTTCACAGCTTGCATGCCACCTCATATATATTCCCTGGGGTGGTTAGAGCCCCCAGTGCTCCCTGCCTACCCCTCTGTCCACTTGCACAGACAATTAATCAGTGCCCAGCCTCCTTTCCCAACTTTCCATAGCACTAACTATCAAACTTCTTTGATATTTTCTGGTTACAGACCTCAGCTTTACACAAAAGCTACTTACCTGATCTTTAATCGGAGTCCAACATGGGCTGCCTTATTATTTTTTTCATTTCATATCTGGCTACGATAGATAAGGCAATTTGATTGCAAACATTTAAGATGTAATTACTTAAGCACCATTCCCATACTAGAGGGAGGCACTGTTATTCAGGCCTAAGGAAACACTGAAACAGAGATTATGACAAAAAGGTCCTTGGAGTCAGGGCTATGAGCCAGCTGCTGTGCCTCCCAGTGCAGAGATTTAAAGGAATAACTTAAATCTCCTGATCTCAGTTTCATTTGAGCTATTACTTATACTCCACACAAAGCCCAGAAAGACTGACTGGAAAATATTTTTAGTTCTTAATAGCATCTATAAGTTGAAGGCAAACTTATCAACAAACAGAAAGGGCATGTTGAAAATCTGCTTCCAAAATACTGCAAGAAGATTGTAATCCTTCTAATATTTTCCAATTTTCTCTCCTCATTATGTCTTGGGTAGATTAAGCATGACTCTGTACAGTATCTGGCACTGAAGTTCTCCAGTTTCAGCAGCTTTTCAAATATGCATTAGCTAAGCAAAAATGTTTTCCCAAGGACTCATAAAAATCTGAAAGATGGGAACAGCCAAGATTACAACATGTGGTCTGCAAACTTTCCAGGTGAAAAGTTCTAAATTGCACTGATCAATGCACAGAGGGGATTTAAAAACCCATCATGAGAAGGGTAATCACTGACTGAGCATGAACACAGCAGTCAATACCAACAGCAAGCCCTGAGTATTTTTTTGGTATGACTGTACTCAGTGGGACAGATCATAAAAGCAGAATCCTGCAAGGTTTTAATCAAAATAACCCAAAACAGTAGATGTAATGATTTAGGGAACTGTCGGTTTCTGTAATCTTCTCACCTTGAGAATTCATGTTTTTATATGTATTTACCAGATTAGGACTTCATTCCAAATGTCAAGTTTGGTGTTACCATCCGTCTTTATACCCCAGTGTTAAATTTCCAGTGATACTATTAAGAAATCACAGAGATGTGGCTGGAATTGTTCTCAGGAGGTCACCCAGTGCTTCCCAGAGCAGGGCGAACTGTGTCAACACACTTCTGAGGGTTACAGTGTCACCCATCCTTCAAAATCCCCAGTGACGAGGATCGTACACCTTTCCCAGAGAATCTAGTCCAGTACCTTGCCCACACATCAAGTTTTCTCCAGGGCCTGCCTGGAAACTCCCCTGCCACAAATGCATCCAGCTATGTCCTGTTATATCCAGCAGGGATCTGGAGAACACAAGTGTCCTGTAATTCTTGTTTCTCATCTTCGAACTTGAAAAGTATTGACATGTTTTCCATGGACTTCTCTAGATTAAACAACTAAGGTTTCTGGAGTATTCCCCTACTGGTAGTGTTTTCCAGGTCTTACATTTGCATTGCATTCTTCTAGACCTTCCATAGTTAACTCAAATATTTTTGGAAGTGCGATGCCTCACATGCAGGGGTTGTATCACCTGAGGCTTTACTGATGCTCTGTAGTTAGGTATGATTGCTGGATCTACTCGACAGGCCACACTTGGCTATAACTCAACATGATTTTATTTCCCCCTCTCAAAAATATAACATCACAGATTGAAGCAATTTCACCACGCTGCATTTGCTTCCCTGGCAGAGTAACTTACTTTGTCATCCATTTTTCACCACAAACCAGCACAGCTGATTATTCCCCAGCACTGAGCTCTGCACTTGTCCTTTCTAACTGCTTCCTGTCTTTCTTATGGATCATTTTCCCAGTCTGTAAAGACCCTTCAGCAGCCTGAGTCAAGCAGCTTCTCATTCCCCACCAGCATGAAGACCAATGAACCTCCATTCACACGGAATCCACTGGACGAGGAAATGACTGTCTCTCCAAGATAAACCAGTCTGCTGCCAAATCTGAACTCCTGAGAAAAAGTAATTCAGTAACAGGCCCTCTGAGGCAAGGACTTAAATTGTTCTGGTAAGTTGGTGGCCACTGATGTTGGGGGCTGGTGACTCCCAGCAAAGGGCTGTTTTGACACGACAACATGTAGACAGGAAGGGGTAAGGTGTGCTGCAGGATCTCTGGTCACTGCAAGGCAGAGGACTTGGGTCCATACTCAGATGCAGAGGAGATGCACCCCTAGGGACCAACTCAAGGCTTCGGAACACACCTGCACACAGCCTCCAGCACCAACAGTTTACCCAGTTTTCATTGGGAATCGTCACTCGGAATTGTCAGCTTTCATCACCACAACACACAGCAGGCTGAAAGCTGCAAAGCTTGGGGCTCTTGCCTCAGGGTGAGTCAAAAGTCAGCTTCCCAGGAAGCCTGAAAGCTCCATCACAGGGAGGTAAACTGGGACAAAACAACCATCAGCATAATTGATCGAGATCAATTTTATTTTTTTAATATAAGTATTCAGCAGCAAAGCCTCAGTTCATCTGGGAAGAGAACTAAGAGACCAAGAACAAAAATTAACGAGAGTGCAGTAAGAGACTCTCAGCTTTTGGCCTTGTGCTACCAGCCCTTCTGAATGTGGACTCATTGAAAAATGAATAATAGAGGCCTGTAGCAAGGCCAAAATAATGAACCAGCAGCTCTTTCTCAAGCCCTTTGACCATACTGGCAGAGAAATGTGATTAAGTTTCACATCAAGAAGCACAGACAGTTTCCACTGCACAGAGACAACTACAGTAAAGTTCCCTTTGAATTAGTATTGATGAATACCTTTGAAATAATGCAGACGGCTATTTTCAATCTAGATTCAAGAATGTGTCATCTAAGCTCACCATTTTAAGTTTAAAAGCCATGAACACAACTTATGCTGAATTTAAGTGTCTCCATCACATGTGCAAGCCCCCAAAAGTCCCAAACTAGTGCTGCAGAAATGCCACATCAGCACATTCAACTCAGGGCAACAATTTCATGCTCTTCAGCCTGGAGGAGTGGCTAGAAGTTTGAGTGCTTCTGCCAAACCCTCAGGTTTGTACACTGAGACAGAAATCTCAGACTTGGCTTTTTCTGCACTTCTGTCTCTGGATCCAGGTCAAATGGTCATGTTCATAATCCATCTGGTGTGTTTCTGGCCATCAGCCTCAGACATAACTTTAAACAGAGGAGAAGCTGAGGAGTTAAACTGAGCTGGCCCATTAACTAAGACTCTGCTTCTAAACCCCCAACATTTCAAGTGCTACGTACCAGCTACCCCTGGTCCTGGCTGACTGAGCTGTTCCCACCACCCCTGAAGAAGTTATAATAAAAAAGCACAGGTACCTGGTGGCCAGCAGGGGGTAGGTATGCAGAGGACTGAACCAAGCTTCCTTCATCCGTGGCATGCTCTCATACATTAAGAGGTCTTTCTCTGTCAAGACCACTAACACTGGCTTCCACTGCTTCTCGTTGTCTCCCGGTACCTGAAAAAGAGCAAAGTCTCACTGAAATAACAAGAGACAAAGCTACCATTGTGCAAAGCCTGACAGTATGAACATGTTAAGTCCTGGGTGAGATAATGAACGAAACAAAGTTTTACTTTTTGGCTTTTTGACATCTCCCACCTGAATTTATAACCAGCTGCAGCAGAAATGGAGTAAAGTACAATGATATCTGCTGCTCTCATTAGCACTGCCTTTTCCAGCCCTTCCCTTACCACAGGCTACTCCATAAATCCAGTAATGGAAGAACACCGAGACAGAGCTGCCTGTTTTTCAGCTGTGCTATGCACGGAAGGACCTTAAATGTATATTTATAATGTGTACCATTCATGTGTAGCTGTAACTTGACCTGAGTGCTGGACAGTGCTGCTGCTGTTTCTGTTTTCATGAGTGAAAAAACCTGCAACATCATCACTACTAGAGAAGGTCAGGCAGTAAAAAATAGTAGTGTGGGAGCAGATGCTTTTTTCCTCCACAGTTCATGTTTTCACTGCTCTTTCCTTCATACTATTTTACAGTTTTATAAGTGTCAATTTATAGAGAGCCAACCTAAATGTGGGGTTGATCTAATGCATTGACTCAGTGATGGTTCTGCACCCACAGTTCAAACCCATCTGCAGGAGATGTCCAAAGACTGGGGCATCAGAGCCCTTTACAGGCTGCAGAACCCAGATATGGAATTATATTCTGCAGGTTAGACATGTGGTGGCCCACATGGCCACATAATTACCATTATGGAGACCACATATGGATATTGTTTTTTACTTACTCTACTCTGGCAGTACAGGAGTGTCTTAAAATACATGGTAATGTGAAAGGGTCTCAGCTTCAAGTAAGAATTAAGCTCTTGTCTTCACAGGCAAATTATTTTCCAATAATCATATTCCTGTTCACAGCATTACTTGCTCACTGGTTCATGTCTGTGTGTTAATCAACCTAAAGTCATAAATGGTTCATTCTTTTAATTTCTTCACAAGCATCAATACTTACAATTCATCTTGTGGTGACAGTTTCTTGAAATGCAACCTTTCAGTTTCAAATAAGGCTGAATAAAGAAGCTGCCTAATTAACACACATATTAATACACTTCAGAAAGAATGCAAAATTCAGAGATACTGCAGCCCATGTACTACGGAAATATTCACATGAACAAAAATCATTCTCAGCTTCTTAACACCACAGATATTAACTACAGCTAACACCTCAGTTCTTAGCATGGGAATATAGAAATAAATGTTACAGTTAATGTTAGCATTTAGTAAATGTTACAGTTAATGCTAACATTTAATTTTTGAGCACTTGCCTGTGTTCTTTAACTAGAAAGCTACATACTTTGGAAGATTTTCAGAAAATAAAAAGGCAGATAAATATGAAATCTCTCATAGAACTAAAAAGAGACTATTCAGATCCATAATCTGGAGGAGTAAGCAGGCAGAGTACTAGGCTGTTACTTCTTATTTTTCAATTCTGTGACCACAAGAAATCCAAAGACTGCCCACAGCTTTTCTGCAGAACCATCCTGCTTATGTAGCTTTTTCAATCACAAGCTTTATTAGTAGGTGGCTGATCAGTTAACTGTGATTCCAGAAACTCTGGGAAACACTGTTCCCTGTAAAGAGACCACAAGAAAGGGAATAAAAGTCCCTGGTGGCAGGTGGCACAACTGGTCCCACAACTGTTTGCTGGACAGCCATAAACATCAGGAGCCAGAACCTCCAGTGTGGATCCTGTGGTTACCATCTGCATGGCAAAGCCCACAGCTTTGCCCTGGTCCTTTCCAATGGCAGGGTGACTGTGGAGAAGATGTGGCTGATCATAAGGTATGGGGTACCTTTTCTGAAGTGTAAGCTACCTTATACTACCTTTCCTTGTAGGATGTACCCCCTGTTTGCAGGGTGTATACTGGGAAGAGGAGAGAGGAGAATGATGTTTGCCTGTGTCCTGCTAGGAAACCCTCCACACTAAGAAGGGCCACGAAATACACACATTTTTAACCACAGTTTTTAGCCCTGGCTGGGAGCACAGCTGTCTCACTGCTGAGGAGTGCTGGTGTAAGCAATACCACTGCTACTGCAGACCTGAAGAAGGATTTGTGTGCCTGAAGGTTTGTCTTTCTTTCCACCTGTAACAGCTGATATAATAAAATATATTGCCTTTACTTAAAATCCATGAATCACATTACTGTTCCCTGATTTCATTGGGGTTTGGATCAGACTTTTAACAGTGGATGCTGTGCTGTTCAAAAGGCACTTGGCACTTCTGGAAGGTGACAAAGAGAACATGCTGTCCTGTAAACAGTAACAGCAAATGTTAGAAAGGAAGAGAGGCTGCAAATATACCATTACCCTACAGGGCACATTCAGAACAAAGCACAGGAAATGAATCCAGATCAAGCAAGTGTCATACCAAGCATAAGCATAATAGCAAATTATAAAACAAAAGCAAACCCCAAACTGCTTACAGGCAGCTAGGTAAAGGATTTATTCATGTTTAAAAGGTTTTAAAGGTTGACATATCATAAAAAGAACATTAAATACTTCTGTAGGAGTAAATTTCAGTGCCACTTGAGATACATTACAGAGGGACCATTTTGGACAATGGTTAGGGCTGATTTCTTAGCCAGAGTTTGCAGAATTCTGGCACTTGTGCTACAGTTCCTTTGCTCCAGTTCTGATTTGCATGTGAACAATTCAAAGTCCATTGATTTATGTTGCAGACAAATCAAATCTCCATTCACTCTAAAAAACTTAGTCCTTTTTCAAAATAAAAAATATTAGATCAAATCTAGATGAACTAGAGAAAAGAAAATTCAGTACTCCTCAAACCTCCTACGGCAATACAATGAATCAGCAATTTTTTTGCTGGTCTTCTGGGCAATGTTCAGGCAACTCTAAGCAACAAGTACAAGTCCCCCTCTCCATGCTCGGCTCATCTCAGTTGAGGTCACTGCTTATATTCCCAAGTGAAATTCCACTTACAGTCAGTGAAGCTGTAAATGTTTATACCAGAAGCAAACTTCCCCCCCCTCCCCCCCCTTTCCTAAACACACTGTCCCTCTAGATCAAAGTCTTCAAGTACAAACCTGAAAAGAGAGAACATATTCTAACAAAAAAATCCAGAGTGTGGTGAAGTATCCTTTTTTTGCTACTCAAAAATCTCTTTGCTCCCCATATAATCACCTAGTGAAGTGCAAACTTCACTTTTTCCCACATGCACCTCTCTTGTTTATCTTTCCATATTCAGAAAATATCTCATGCATGGTGGGGATGAAACCTCATTTTATTTTTTTAATATTTTTTTTTTTGGCGCAGAACAACATGAAAACTGGGCCTGGAATGACAACTGAGGAGACCTACATCTTTCTTGGCCACTGGCTTCCTCTGCAAAGTCAGTATAAACACTCCTTGTTTCCACACGGACCCGGCAGTCTCTGTCAGGATGGCAAGTGCTGCTGTAACGCACACGGCAGGAACACACAGGAACAGGAAGGTGGACAGAAAGTGGACAAGAACAGCTGCTGTACTTCAGCAGCTACAGGGAGACTTGGCCATCACACAAGACCCAAAGTGCTTCACTGCAGAAAGCAGATCCTCACGCAGCATCAGGACACACCAGACCCCACTGCACTGAGGATTCACCTGAGGAGCTCTGGCTGCTCCTGGATGCTTCACTCCAGGCTCTGCTTTAGAGCCAGATCTCCAGGCTGAAGGATGGACTGCAAACAACGAAGCAAGCCCACCCTACCTGTATGACTGCTCCTACTGGTTTTCTGGCATCTGCTCCTGCGCTTAAGGTCACTGCTTGCGATGTACCCTTCAAGAGCAACACCTCTGATACAATATTTCAAAGAGTTGGCAGCTTGTTTTTTCCTGCAGGCGCTGGGGCACCCCTGGCCTCTTTAATGGGTATCACAACTTCGAAATCTTTAATAGTTTTCACATATAATTAGTTGCTGTAAAGACAACAGGCATCTCAGTGGAGATAAATCCTTTTACAAATGGTTTGTCCTTTTGCTCTTTCATCTGGCACTTCTCCTTTTCTTAAGGTTTTTCTTTGAATTTCAGTCATTCATCTACTTCAGGCTGCCAGGAATGGTTGAATCTATGAGGCTCACAGATAATTAAATTAGAGGTCTCAGTCTACATGGGAAAGCTGTTTTATATTTTCATTAACTCAAAAGGGACATTTCAATTACATTCCCTGTTTAGTAAACAAATTATATATTGCCAACAGACTCCACTGCAGCAAGTATCCAAAGCGTGGCCTTTCAGAGAACTGCAGTGAGGGTAGCAAACTTACGGTTACAGGAAGAGGTTTGACCCCCTTTCCATCACCCTCTCCCAAATCCCAGAGTTACACTACCCTGTAACACAGGTCATGGGAGGACCCACCAAGAATTTTATGAAACTTTTCTTGCTATCTTCCCTCCTCCTTCACTTAAAAACTCTCTCGTGCTGACAAGAGTGAGCTTCCACACGGGCAGGGATATGTATTTCTTGCTTTTTCATCATCTTTTGAAAGGCTACGTCCCTGTTCAGAATAAATCTGATGCATTTACAGAAACCTACTTGTCAGCTCCTGAAATAACAGCTGGGACTGAAAAGGATTTTTGCAAGACAAACAGCAGTGATGCAGAAGTACATCAAGCAAACCCCAATGTATGCAACAACGCTGGCATTTCTGTGAGCTCATTTGACGGGAGGCAGTTTGTGATGCAGGAGTGGATGCAAGTGACAGCCATGGGCAGGGTGTATCAACATCTCCCATGGCACGCATGGATGAGCTTTGTTTTGCTGCTAAAATTTGTAGTTTTAAACAGGAAATAACATGCCCATGGTCTGGGGGTGAAGCTAATGAACACGTGTCTGGTTTCATTCTTCTCTTTCACCTCAGACACATCTCAAAGGTGGTTTGTGCCTTTATCAGACCTGGATTACAGTCAGTGCACACACACAAGTGCCCCAAAGGGCACTATGTTGCCT